ACAGCCCCCCTTTAAAGTCGCGCCTGCAGTTTAGTCTCCCACCGGCCGGCCACGAACCACCGCCCGACCACCTCCAGCCGTGCGACAATCTCCAGCCGCCCGACCACCTCCAGCTGCCTGACCACCTTTAGTTAGCCAGCCAACAACCAATAGCTGATCAACCGGCCACCTTGGTAGGCCACCTCCAGCCGGCCGACCACCAACTTCAACGGGCGGCCACCCTTGGCCGGCCACCCCTTTCGGCCAACTGACCATGATTGGTTGACCGTCCGATGCCGACAATTCCCAACGCGACACGCTCCAGATCGGTAGATCCAAGCATGGAAGGAACCAAAATATCCTGTACCACCCTCCATAGAGCAAGGGCATATTTGTAGTCCTACTTTTACCTCATTTTCACTTCTATAAATAGATGCCCCTTGTCATATGTAAAGAGGTCTTTATGCTCTCTCTCTCTCTCTCTTTCTCTCTCTCTCTCTCCCCATGAAAAGGAAACTCTTCTCTTCTTCTCACTTGTAGTGGAATAAAAGGGGTTAAAGCGTGCAGGAACACCCCTTTTTGCCCCTTGACTGCGAGATTGTGATATCAAAGTTAACCCAAGCCATAATACGAAAACCAAATGTTGTTATTGAAAGCAAATAGGTGGTTACAATTAAACACACTTGGAAGAGGAAATTACAACAAACACGACAGACTTACTCTAGGGTTTGATCCATTGGTGGTGGAGGTCAGCTAGGTTGTTGGGAAGGGGAGGTAGGTGGTTGAAATTGATTGTAGGTGGTTGGGACAATAAAAGGAGGGGCTGGAAGGGCAACAACAACAAAGAGGAGAGGTCGGAAAGCAGCTAATCAGCCAAAAAGGATTGTCTTGGGTTGCAGTAGCAAGGGAGGAGGATGTCAGCATTGAAGGGGAGTTGTAGCATGGCAGTAGGATGGCATGAGAGAAATAGTTAGCCGAGTGGTCGGAACAAAAAAAAAAAAAAAAGAAGCTAAGAATGGTTGTTTTTGGGCGGAAAAAGCAAGCGTGAATGACGACGACAACAACGACGGGGAAGGTGTTGGGTTGCAGGACAACCAAAGGATGGCTGCCCTTGGGGTGCAACAACGAGGTGGATGGTTGGAAGGCGAGGAACTGTAGGAAGATCATCAACAAGACTGCTGTCGGGGTGGCTGTAATAAGGAGGAAGGCGTGGTAGCGAAGCGATAGGGATGCGGGAAGGGACGAGGAAGATAATCACCAACTGGAGACCAAGATACAACCGAAGCGTCACCTGAAATCCTAGGATACAACCCTCTAAGGGAAGAAGAGACGTCGACAGGTGTTCTGATACAAAACACAGGAAAAAACTAATCCTAAAACATCAGAAAACAAATATCAGTAATAGGATAACTAGGAGTGACCTCATAAGATCGGCCGACTCCACAGTCTCAAAAATACCTGGACCGGTTTGGTTTAGTTTAAGCACGAAGCGGAATCCCGCTTCCATCGTAGAAACTCCCACTCTGGAGACATCCCACTTCACATTGGAAATGATAAGCTTTATGCTTTACAGGCATAGATACAAATGATGAATAGCAGCAACTTTTTCTAATTTAGGAATTTTATAAGAATATTCTTAAAAAGGACCATACTTCTTAAGAGTTGAGCTCAAGTGATCCAACCTCAAATTGAAATCATAAATTTTAATTTAAGCTTTAATTTGTTGGTACCAATTGCTTTCGTTATTAAGGGGCTTGGAAGTTGTAGCCAAGGTCCTGAATTTGATACTTGCCTATACAATAATAAGCTCGTCCTTTGTAGACTTTCGAGTATATATTTATGTATGCATCAAGCATGTAAAAGATATTAACTTTAAATAGATCATTTTCCTACTCATA